GTGCACTTCATTATTTTTTTTTAATTCATGTGCCCTCGTAATCTTTAATCAAAAACGTTAACCTCCCCTCCCCCTCAAAACGACTCATCTTCTCTTCCGGTCACGAGCTATGGCGCAAGGGCGGAGCTAGTGACGTGAGGGGTAAATGCTGGGATAAACGACAGGGGGAAGAGCTGAAGCTGATGCTTCACTTTATAGCACTGACACCAGTCATGAGGGAGTACGTTATCCCTAAACATTGAAAAGATATTAGGATATTACGACAACATTACTCTTAGGACATCGCAAACTAATTTTTGTCATGAATATGACCTGATGGAGCGCTCAGTCAGTCATTCAGGCACTCTCTCTCTCTCTCTCTCTCGCGTGCTGTTTAGGCAAGTTTTGTGCCGTTGATCATCGTCGTCATCCTTAATAAATAAAACGTTTATTCATGCTTGGGTGTCGGCTGTGAATCCAGTGGAGAGAAATCCCCCCATTTCCCTCGGATATACGTCACAGTAGAGAAGAAAAGACAATCGCAACTTCCGTTTCGTGCCGACTTTAACTGCAGATTCAGGCCACTGTTTTAGTTTAATAATGTATTTATGCAAAAAATTTTAAGGCATGAACTGTTTTCTTGAATTTAAAAAAAGTTATAAAAATTAAACTCCTGTCTCCTGAGATGCCTTCATCTGATTGATTTTTGAAGGCAGTGTAGATGTATCCTTCACTGCCTTTGATATCCCACAATCCTGTGTGTTCCATTCTGAGCTAAAAAATAAATATGGCATCTGAAAGTTGTGGATGGTGGTCAGTTTGTGTAAATGTATGTTTTTGACCAACATCTTCCACTTTCAATGTTATTTTTAGCAAGAAATTACTATTATAGTAATTAAATATTCACTCAGTTATCAACAAAGCTCACTCTATTTTGTTTTATATCATTAAACCGTTATGCTGCCTCAGAAGTCTGTCCGAAATCAGTTATGTGCATTATGCATCATGTTATGTAATTAAATTGTGAGACTTTTTGCAGTGATCTTGCAAAATGTTGTGGAAACCTTTCAAGTGCAAGTTACATATTAAAATAATTAGATATTACATATAATTTAGTAGTAAAACATAATGTGTTGCACATTTTATGTCACAAGAAAATGTACAGCAGGTTTAAGCTTCAGCATAGGGCACATCCCAGTGTCAGACTCAAGTACATGAGACGTTATTAATAGCTTTAAGACATGGTCTCCATCTCTGTGGCCTGCAAGAACAAAAGGAAACGTGTTATAATACAAAAGTTTGCTTTCTATTGGGGAAGTACCCACACAGTTTGGCCCATACTGAAATAAATAAGAACAAACCTATGCTTTACTGTACTGGGCCTTCTGTCGCTGTGCGAGGAAGAACTAAATAGAGGAGGAAAACAGTTAAGACTACAAACACCCATCAAGTTAAATCATCACTGAATCATCAATGAACTGACTTTAGCTGGAAAAATGTTATTGTCTTCTTGCATTATTGACAAACTATTTTCCTGTTTGACACTGTAAAGCTGCTTTGACACAACCAGTATTGTATAAAGCACTTTACAAATAAAGGTTACTTGACTTGACTTAAATGAAACTTGAAAAGTATATGGTACTTACCAAAACCAGAAGTCCTGCAATCACAATCAAGCTGACCACCACAATAACAGCAATGATACCATCAGTCGGGCTCTGCATGGTGAAGGTGGGCACCACTTCATCTACATAGTACAACAGGATGTTCTCCACGGACACCTTTGATCCCTCAACACTGACTTCAAATGGTTTGTAGTCTTGAAAGAGGGGCTTAACTTTGATCTACGAAAGACAAATTCATTTAGTTACATATTAAGTTACAACATAACACCAGGTATGAAGATAAGAAACTGAAACGAGACTCATGTCCTTCCATGTAGTAAGTCATGAGGGACAGGTCTGTAATACGTTCTTTCTCAGGCTTTTTGACATCCACAACAATGAGACGGCCATCTCTGTCATACTGGAAAAGAGGAGGTGGGTCATGTTTGGTTCTGTACCGCAAGTACCAAGTTGAGGGGTTAGATAACAATGGTAAATTCTTACCTTAACCTCAGATACAAATTTCTTATCCAACTTGTAACGTTCCAGCAAAGCATTCTCAATCCCACTGTAAAAGAGTAACATCAGAAGCATAAACTTCATATTTCACATGGTCCAGCAAGACCCTAGAAATCAATTGCAACATACGTCTTCAGTTTGGTAGCATCAAGAGGAACGGTTGCGTCATTTGCTTTATGCTTCAGTTCCAGGCGAACCCAACTAGAGAAGAAAACATGGCATTGTCAGAATTTACTAGTCTTGCTTCCTTCCACAAACAGCATTAATATTCCAACCACACTTCAAACTAGGTGTGTCGGTCAGAAGAACATCCTGTTAACAGCTCTGCTAATACAAACACACTCACTAGGTCTCCACGGGCTCACACTTGATGTTCTTGTCTCCCTTGTCACTTCTGCGCACACCAGCACTGTTGACGCCCCAGCACACATCAGTGCCATTACACTGGATTGCCTTGAACTTTCCATCACTCTCACACTCTGGGTCATAGATGCCATCATTGTCCACAAAGGCAGTTTCTACAGATTTCCCACCAATTGATCTTGTGGTCACGTTGTTCCTGGCACGATACATCTCCGCTTTTATGAGGAAGCACTTGGGAATCACTGTGGGTAGGGAGAATTGAAGACACTTACTACACTTGATGGGAGGAACAAAACACCTTGCCTGGTTTGTTGGTACGAACTATGGACGTTGGAGCTCAGTTAGTTTAGGTGGTTACCAAAATTCCTCTAAAACACACTGGAAGACTGGTTTAATCTTTTCAAACCTAACATTTTAGTAAAGGATGCCAAAAAAAACTACCAGTAAAACAATAGTTACCAAATTAAGAACTTTAAGAGCAAATTTAAAAGAAAACTTAATTTTTTTACAATCAATTAGTTGCTTGTTTGTCTTGTATGTAAGAGTGCACTGGCATGGGTCTCCATCACATCTGGCCCATTTCATAGTGTTACAAGAACCTGTTGGATTAAAGAGAGAGAGAGATTTCATGGATTTATTAAATACACTTAAACTTTATTTGGTAGATAGGTTAAAGTTGAAATGACCCTGGATCTCATTGTTTTGTTTGCCTCCCAACTACCAAGTTAACGACTAGGAATAAACAGTTTGCCACAAGTGAACCCGATATAGTTCACTTGTAAGGTATGTTTAAACAGCTTATGTTTTAATTATAGTTAAAATAGTTGTTACTTACATTGTGAGGCGACCACATCCACTAACACCACAACAAACAAGGCGATCAAAACCTTCATCGTGGATAAGAACTGAAAAACAAAAACAGTTCCTGTGTTATAAATCATTCTGTTAGAGGAACTGATGTGTTAATCTCCAGAATCTCTATGCAATTCAACTAGTCTTTAAACACTAAAAAGCTGAAATCGTATTACCGAAGCTTTAAGAAAAACTAGAAATCCAACCAGAAAGAATTATTCCACTTTTTGTGGACTCTTGAGCTTAACAATGAAGAGATCCCACAGATATCCTCTCTCCCCTGCCAAATGACTAATCTAAATGTGCCCCTGCTGAAAAAAACAATAGACACCATCACAAAATTTGTAATGGTTTTACTGGTTATAATGGGACTTGTATTGGTTTTAATGGAAACTCTAATGGACCCTGTGGGATTCTACTGGTAATTGGTCACCATCTATTGGTGTCCTGTTAAAACCAATAAATCCTAATGGAATTTGCCCCAAAACACACTACAGAAAATCTTTTTTTTTTAAATGGTTAAAATTGATGGTTTGTAATGTTTGTAATGGTATTTGTAGTGGAAACCATTAGAATTTTCTGTGATGGTTCTATTGTTTTTTTCAGCAGGGGCCACAGGTGTCTGTCTTCTTTGCTTATGTGTTTGAATGAAAATACGTGATAACTGACAATTGAATGCATTTTATTGTTGTTTCTCTTTGTTATTTTTCCATATGTCCACTGGATGATGCTCTTACATGTCCTGCAGTGATACTGTGTCTGATATTTTCTGGCTACACCCTGTGTCACATTTTCAAATGTCCAGGATTGCAGTTCTAAAGTGTGACTTGTTCAGAGTTGCTACAGAATCAGCAGACTTTGCTGGTCATATGTTCTATTGTTAGTTGTCAGCAATTCTGATATTTCCCCAATTTAACCTTGTTATTTCTCTACACCTAAAAAAAAAACTTTATAAAAGATTTCACTCACCAGATTATAACCATCTCACATATAAGTGAAGTTTGTGTTACAGAACAAAGCTGAATCTATTCAAAAGCTCTATAATCACTTGGGTTTATCGAATTTTATTAAACGTTACATTTATGTGTGTTACAGTTTTAATGTATTTCTAAATTATTTCTAGTCACCTTTAGTTGAAGTTTTTTTTTTTTTCCTCACTGTTATTTCCTAGACAAATAGCTAATCTGGCTAGATAAAATGTCTAGATAAAATAGCTGGATAAAAACTTTTATTATTGCTATACACATAGGCTAATTTACATTGAATCTGTAGGAGTTTCTTAAGTTAACTGGTTAATATTTGTAAATGGGTCATTGAAAGACCACTAGATAGAACCATCCGATCATAGTTTAAACATTTTTCTTTATCTGAAGAATTGTAGGCTTAACAACCAAAACTCAATTAAAAGACAATATACTCACTCAGAATTCACACAATCTGGAAATAAGATGGAATCTAATTCTATGCTCTAAAATAACTTGTTAGGTCACTCTTGTCGCCCAACTCTTTTTTAAACTCTCTCTCCCTCTTTAATTTAAATGAATACATTCTCATTTGTTGGCAGCAACTTCCTATTTAGCCGTTCTGACCACAAAAATGTAGATGTGGTTTGGAAGAGCTCATCTGTGGTACTGACATCCCTTACCAAAAAGTAGTATACTTCAAGTTTATTTTACTGCCACAGAGAATTTGGTTTAGCGCTAGCTACACAACAGTCTCAGCGTAACTCAGAGCTAGAGGAACAGAACAAAGAGCTCCGTGCTAGAGTATCCTCTTTGACTAAGAAATTGAACCGCAACAAAGCTGCAGCAAAAACTGATGTGGAAGAAGTTAGTAAGCCTGATAACCATTATCCTGACTTGCAAGCTTTCTTTGAAACAGATGTAGCCATCCAATCAGTGAAGGTATGTGGCGCTAGGAGAAGATCTCGGGGAATTGAGGGAAAGCCCGTCCAGGTCCAGCAGCTCCACCAGGGTCTCACTGCTCAGCTGAATGAAAGCGTACATAAAAAAGATTGGAAAAATAAAAAAAATGCATTTTTATGTATTGTTAAATTTTGATGATGTTTTTCTGATGTTGAATTTAAGTTATTTTGTAATTATTTGTAAAAAGTACTTTTAGTATAGAATAACGCGATATCTGCCTTTGATCTCGTTGGTATCTGTTCACTTCGAGAGGTCAGAACTGTCCGTCTTGCCTGCGCTTATTTCACTCCTCCCCTCACTGCAGCCGCCTACTCTCGCCTTCATTTCAGGCGAGGCGAGGTGCATCTCAAACAAGCCTATTGTTTCGGTTTCTTCTTCACTTGTGTTTTTTGGAAATTCTGTACAGAAGATGTGTACTAGTGCCCCCTACAGTATAACAATGAAAACACGGATTCTAGGAGCACAATTATAGCTCAAATATAATTAGACTTTTTCTAAGTATAAGTCAAGTATACTTAAATGTCATTTTAAGTATATTTCTGAGAAGTACATAAAGCCCATTTCTGAGAAGTACATAAAAAGTAGACTAAAAGTATACTTTCCTATTTTTAGTTTAAAAGAAGTAAACTAATATCACACTTGAATAAGCTTCTTTTTCGTAAGGGATGTCACTAGTTTACTAAAGTTATTATTAAGTTAAGTATGTGAAATACTTTGCCATTTCATTTTGTGTGAGAAATTAAATTAGAAAGTCTAAATCTACCTAGTTCAACATATCCCACCAGAAAAACTGCCAAGTGTTCTGTATTTGTGATACTGAGACATTTTTTTCCACTCTTTTAAAACTTGACTCTAGCAGACTTTTGGTCACACGGCATAGACTACTTCTCCAGTAGCTCTACTTCCGGTGCTGTGGTTGTGCCACATCGCCACACATCGCTGTTTTCTGTTTTGTAAAGCAAACTTGTGGTTTATAGCAAATGGCAATAGGGGAAATTTTTATACTTAAAAAAAAATTGTTTATGAAGGTTATGAAAATTTTTTTAAGCAATTTTAATAATGAGCATGAAATAAGTTAAAGTTTTATTTATTTATGTGGTTGAATGATTTGTGTTGGAAAAAATGAGTAAAAACAATGCTGATGTGGTGAGCTGCTTGGTTGTTGTTTTTATTTAGTAATATGAGAAATATGCTTTCTGAAGCTTCGAATCAATTGAACCAATCTTAAAATGACGCATACGGAGACATCTGCTGGTCAAAGGAACACTTCTGGAAGTCTACCGTGCTCCACAGGTATGCGAGTTGAGTAAAGTTCCCAAACTCGGATTGAGAAATCTCCAAAATTATTGACTAAGCTTACGTCAGTAGCATATTTCAAATGTTCAATAAAATCTGCCCAAATGAGTCACATTTTGTTTGATTAGCTAAAACAAGCTTCATTGATGATGCCATTTTGTCAGGACATCATTGTGGTGAATTACTCTTTTCATTTTTTTTTCAGTACATTGTGTAATATCATTAACGTATAGGCAATGCGATATGCGATATAACGCAGTGCCATTCTGTCAGTTGTTTTTGTCACTGATATTTAATAGCCCTGTAAAAGAAGAATCATGTCACAAAACAAAAGGATTTAAGCCTTGTGTGAGATGAATGCTCTCATCAAAAACACTTATGAATGAATTGTGAACACTTATGAATGAACACTATATTGTTTCAGTTTTAATTTTACACCCAGTGGAAAGTTGAAGCCCAAAGGGAGTAGCACATTTACGAGAAAAGTGAAACGTAACCTAGGAATATGTAGGTGTTCCCGTTTCTGCTTGTCTAGGCTGTCCCAGGTGAGATGGTGCCTTATGCTCAACGAGTGGAGGACCCACTGCCAGAGACCTGCGCTG